CCATTACAGCTGTTTCTTCTTCATTAACAGTTTTAGGCAAAGAGGATGTGGGCAAAACAAGGGCGTGTTAACAAGGACACCACCCATCGTACCCCACCCCACCTCCCACTAATCAATTTACAGGTTTGGAGCTCTGTTAGTGGATGTGTCTGTTAGAGAGAGAGAGAGAGAGAGAGAGAGAAAGAGAGAGAGAGAGGACCCAAGATCTGTATTACATGCCGATCAATAATGTTTGGATGCATGTAACATCAAAGCATCATGGTGCCGCTGTGCAGGACAGGAAGGCCGCAAGGTTGCAGGTTCCCGATTCCTGGCCTCCATCCTTTACATAAGAAGGTCACATCTCTTGCTGCCATGTGGCAGTTAATTAAGCCGGGGAGATTTTCGATAAACCAACTCCTCCACTCAGCTTAATTGTGCCGTGACAGTTCCACTCAATGCACAGCGCGGAAAAATTGAATTTATGGACAGGGCAGGACAGCCCCTCCTCGCTGGCACACAGGCGGGCTCGCAAAGTCGCGAGAATCAGGCACCGATCGATGGATACGGGCCTTTTGTGAGAAGCTCACAGACTGTTCCATGAGGTAGGGCAAAAAAACCATGGTGAACAGAATAGTTTAGGTAACGCAGCTCTCTCCGAGGCCTCACTGGGTTCCACCCCGTTAGCGCTAACCTGTCCCAGATCCGCGAGAATCGAAGGTAATTAAACGGATCACGAGGGCGTAATTAACACCGACCACCCCCGTCACTCGATGGGAGGCCCCCATGATATGCTCCACTGATGCGGCACCTTTGCGGGCACTCACCATGCCTGGTGGGGAGGGGGGTTCTCACACAGTGGTACAAGCTTCACTGCACCATCTAGAGAGCTTCCGTACCAGCACAGAACTCAGTGACCACCACAAGCACTGGAGATAGTGTCTAGGATGACCATAACTAAGGGCTTCATGAAGTGAGGACTGGCCATGTCTATCTTCTCCAGTAGAGGGTGGTGGTGAGCCTAGAGAGCATCTCCAGAAGCATACAACAGGCGACACGGTGGATGAGATGCCAATCGATCGCATTTTAGCGCACTCAGACAAACCATATGCTTTTGTACTTTGTGAGGTCATGAGAGTTTGTAAGGAAACTCAGACAAATAGAGAGGCAAGAACACTCGTTGGGATTCAAACCTATAAACCTGGAGGTGCGAGGACACAGGGCAAGCCCCTGAGCCACCAGACAGGCAGACGCCTCCATGTAGCCAAGTGATGTCATATCCTGTGACGTGTCCATGTCCCTTTCAGCTGCACCTCACAGGGGTACCGCGTCTACATGGGCGGGGTGTCCAGCGGCAGCCTCACCTGGTACTCGTTGGGCCAGAAGGTGCTGACAGCCATCTCCACCTGGTGCCACTGGCGCCCATGTGAGCCGGATGCATTCCAGACGGGGCTGCCCAGAGGCCCGCCGTTGACCCGCACGTACGCCCGCAGAGCCCCCGGGCTGTGCCCATCGCGGCTGTACAGGAAGTAGCTGAACTGGACGCAGTGGGTGTCATTCTCACTGAGCGTCTGCAGCAGGAGGTGCGCCCGCTGTCCCGCGGCATGCTGGGAGCAGTTCACGATCATGTAGGAACCTGAGGGGGGAGGAAGAGAAAAGGCATCTGAGCACTTTTAAAGGGGCGGATACAACAGCTGCAGCCATTGAAATAAGAACTGCAAAAAAACTGTACTATTTCCATGTATTTAAGTTGCAAGCTATGCACAGCTTCTGGTAATAATTAATAATTAGCTGCTATCACAAAGCCCCGGGCTGTACCAGCCTGCACTGGTAATCTCCAGAAAGAAAATCGTTTTCTCGTTTTGTTAACCGGCGCGGTATTACTGTCTCTCAGAAATGGCACCCAGTTCTGCGAAAAGCTGGCTGCTGCAGCCCAAAGGTAAGGAGCGGGAAGAGGCATTAAGCACCTGACAGGCAGTAACGGGGTCTGTCGCTCACGGCTGCTCCGCTGCAGAAAAACCGCTGACTGCTCTACGCAGTGGATTCTTCTCACAGGACATTCCTCAGAGATGCGAGCTAAACCTCCACAAAATGAACAGCTGAATCCCTGCTATGCACAAACGCCCAGCTGCCCACCCCCTCAATCTCCTAAAAGGTTCGTTCTGCCACCAAACCTCCAGGAGCTCTCATTAGACAGCCCTCCAGAGCCCTCCATTGGGAGCACACAGAGGACTGCCCCTGCTGTTTGTGTTTATGATGCCACTGAGGTGTGTGACAGACAAGGGCAGTGAGGACACTGGGGCAGGTAAAGGGAGAAGGGTATGATGGGTAACGTGCGGCGGAGCCGACCGGCTTCCTGGCATTAATCATGCTGACATGGCAATCAGGCCAAGGACTCAGCCTTGAGGAACGCCCAACTCGAGCCAGCCGCCAAGGCCCCCAGCTGGCCCCCTGACCTTCAGGGCTCAGGACAGTGAGACTGAGCAGCACCGCCTCAGGACCCGCCTGTGTGAGGGGGGGGGGGGATCTGGTGATGTGACATCCTCAAGCCACCATGGCAAGCCAAACATGGCGCCATAAGCTTAATTTCCTGTCGGAGCACGCAGGAAGTGGAGGTGCAGGGGATCTGATTGGAGATCTCACTGGTGGTCTGCAGCTCTGAGGGTTAGTGCCTGCGATCGGAAGATCGCCGGTTCAAATCCCAGGATCGGAATTTAAACCCTTGGGCCCTTGAGCAAGGCCCTAGAGCGATTGCAATTGCTAGGGACCCTGCTTTCTCAAAAATAAAGCATGTCAATTTGGATAGAAGAGCCTGCAAAATATATTAAATGCAGTTTTGGACCTTAACAGAGGGAGGAGGAAAGTTAGAGCAGAAGGGTGAGTCCAGCAGGCCAGAGCACAGGGGGCAATGACAGGAAACCTGAGAAACACAGAGAACACGCCTCTCTGGAGCTGTGCCTCCAGGACGAAAGGCTGGCTTTGATCTGGCAAACAGCAATTAAAATGCTGCATATCCAGTCCATAGCCTGTTGCACATAAACGGCTGCTCACCCAGCTCTAGGGTCAATTCTCATTCGGCCCAATTCCAGGATGAGATGCCCTTATATCAGCTAGACACTGTTAGTGCAGTTACTTCTATTTACCACATCTATTACTACTGTGATGCCATTTGTAATAACCATCTTTCCCTCATCCATAACCACTTATCCAGGCAGGGGACACACTGGACGGGATGCCAGTCCATCACAGGGCACAGGGCAGGGGACACACTGGACGGGATGCCAGTCCATCACAGGGCACAAGGCAGGGGACACCCTGGATGGGATGCCATTCCATCACAGGGCACAAGGCAGGGGACACCCTGGATGGGATGCCAGTCCATCACAGGGCACAAGGTGGAGGAGACCGGTGCTTAGGATGAGATGTCAGTCTATCACAGATCACACACTAACAGAACTTTGAGACATCTAACTCACATCTTTGGACTGTGACTATAAACTGGAATACTCGACGGAAACCCACACAGGGATTACATGCAAACTCCACACACAAATAACAACCCACACGCCAGTGAGTCACCACACTAACCTGTAATGAACACAACACATCCAATTCTCAGTGAAAGCATTCCTGTAAAAGGGTCCTGCTCAGACTTCAGATTAACTGGAGCCTGCACACAATGACATCATGGTTTTATCGGCCAATCAGAGTATGGTCAGTGTTGGCTGGAAATGCAACACTGACCCTCCCTCCAACAGCAAAACACATTACATAACATGTGGATTCCATATTTGGTAACACGCAGCAGTGATTGCGCAAGTCCTTAAAACAACAACTTGCTTCGGCTCGAATCAGACACCTGCATCTCGTCAGTGACGGCACCCAGGCCCCGCCCCCTGAAGGGTGTCAGCGTGACCCACTCTGTGTTCAGGCCCCGCACATAGAACTAGATTGTCCCGTCCCCAATCTCACCTCTCCTTCCCCTCTTCTAAAAGCACCCAGTCCCCAATGTTCCCTAGAATATCCTGGGTTTCCATAATATTCAGTTCAACTGCTCCATCGAAACTAGCTACATCATCACCTCCGTTTAGCACAAAAACATTTCACTCCTCTTTCTGCATCATAAATCATGTCTCCGTATAGCCAATCTGCAAGCGGAGATGGTCTCTGTGCCGCTATGTTTCCTTGAATGCCTGAAAGCCTTTTCCCCCTCTTTACACATTCCTGTCATTTGCGCCACCTCGCATCTCCTGCTCTAAGCATTAATAAAACACTGGGTGAAACGGAGGGTGCTCATTCCTTAATGCTCCAGCACGGCCCCACAAAATAAAATCCGGTACGACTGAGAAATACTTCACGGCAAAGCCAGATTTTTGGGAACAGATTCTTTGAATAAATCGATGGCTGATTGAAAGCCTTCGGCAATCAGCCCTGCACTGGCCACACCTCCAGAGCCCCCCCTCAGTGAGCAGAGAGCCCCAGACAAGCCGAGAGCTGGGATCTGAGCTTATACCCTGAAACATTAAGTGCTCCAGTCCCATGGTGCCCTTAACCTCTGCATGTTCTCCGTATGTATACAAGGGTTTCCTATGACAGTCATAACTGGTGACCTGCTGTCTCTGCACTTCCCAGAGTGTATGATGTAGGGTGCTCTGTGGTGCACTGATATCCGAAACAGGGTGTTCCCCTGCCTCTTGCTCTGAGCTTCCTGGTAATGGCTCCCAGCCACCCAGTACAGAATAAACAGTTACGTATGATGGATGGGCGTGCAGTCCTGGATGTAACCCATTTTCGTGTCCTAGTCTGCCTGAAATAGGCTACGGGCCCCCTGCAACCCTGACCAGTGAGAATATGGATGCATTGAGGGATAGATGGATTTATGTATCTGTGCTTGTTATTACAATGGATATGGCCCCAGTCAGCATTGACGGTAGTAGCCTGCTGATTGACCTAGTCACCCACCCCTTCCTGTGCTCTCAAAATACCTGTGTGTGCTGCTCTGAGTGACGTCCATAAGATATCGACTGGAGGGTCAGACTGGGGATTGTCTCTATCAGTGCCAACGGGAGAAGGTCAACCTCTTGCTGAATGACGCGATGCTCTTTATCTGTTGTGCGCTTTCTCTCCACAATTTGCTGAGGAGGAGATCAGCAGGCAAACACATCAACTGGCAGAAGCTCCACATGCTAAAAGGGCTCAAGACGGGCATGTGCCCAGTGATGGGAGGTGCCAGGGCATTCCACCCCCGTCTCACATGGTAAATATCACCAGGGGCAGAGGAAAGGAAGAAAAGCAGCCCCCTCTTTCCCTGTCTCCCAGCGGAGAGGTGTTGGACAGCCCTTGGTGGGAGTGGGATATTTTGGGATGTGGTGGGCGGGGGCAGGGAACGAGGAAGATCTCACTGGTGGCACTGGGCCCGTACTCCACCGACGGGCCGTCTGTTTTGGGGGGTGGAGGGGTAGCTTACAGTCCTGCGCACAGCATATTTTTTGCGCACAGAGAGCGATGGCGGTGGAGGTGGGGTGAGCGAACTTTTCTTACCATGTATAGCGATGTGAGAAACACACATTAGTCATCAGTGGATAAAGCTTTTGCAGTCTGCTCACGATTACCTTCAGGGAAGAAAGGATTATGTGTTTTTCTGCAACAAAACTCATCGTAATGATTGCTGTCTTCTATCTAATAGCCTGGAGAAGCACAACTTGACCGCTGACCGTTGTGTCAACAAGATTTTTAAGTGACCCAAAAGAACCAAGAGGCTCCACCAAGAGGCCACCAGATCAGAGCAGCTCGTCAGAAGATGTTACAGCGGACAGACGGCACTTCGCCCACTTTGAAATTTATCATAAATTTCACTTGAAAAGACATAAAAATAAACTCTGGCTGTTCCCTGAATCTGCTGATCTTCAAAATAAACGCTGTCTTTTCCCCTGTCTGCTTTTCCATTCTCCATAGACAAATTCTGACGCAGTTGCTGGCCTCGCTTGCTACTCAGCATTGCCCAGATTTACAGCGGCAGAACAAAAACGAAAAGCAACAAAACATGCTAAATTTAGCCACTTCTATAAATATTCAACCGTCAATGCAAAACGTGCAACATATCCATAAAATTAGTCTTTACTTCTTCTGATTTTATTGCATAACTTGGCCTGGAGGGAATCCAGTGTCATGTGTGAAAACTGTTCCTGGTCCATCCCCAGCGCTACGACACTGACCTTGCTCTTCTCAACTAAACTGCCTCCCATCGAGGTAAATTGGTGCTGAATTACAGCGTGGGTGATGCCACACACGGATATCAGGCAATAAGCGGCACGCTCTTTCATGGAGCGGGCTGGGAGTGTTTCACTGCGGGATCTGGGGGTGGGCTCCGCCAGCGCTGGTGATGGAATTACCACCAGCATGTATCCAGACAGCCTCTGCAAGACGTGACAGAACATCAAGCCCGGTGACAGATGGGGGGGAGGGGTCACACGCCCTGAGCAGGTGCCTGGGTGGCAGGAGGATGGGGCGATGAGGGATGTATTAACAGATTCCCCTTTCTTCAGCTCATACATGTTAATAAAATGTTTGTAATTATGATCTCCTGCATGATCTCCTGCTTCGCTCAAGATCTCCGCTGTTCCTGTATCCATTCAT